ACACTGTGTCCTCTGCTCAGCACACAAGCAACATCATTAGAATGAATCTGTCATCAAGAGAGAGTCACTCAATACATTTGGAGAGTATCATCCGCTCCGTAAAAATAACTTGGCAGCTCCGAGCCTCACTGTTTAAAGACTTAAAACCGAAGTACTCTCTGAATTTAAAATGTGGAGAAGCACCCAGTGGGTTTAAAATGATTGCATGTTCTTCCTTGTCTTTCAGAGAGAGGCTGTTTGTTGGTAGGGTGAAGTTGGCAAGGAACGCTACCCTTCCCCACCCTCTACTTTGATTTTTGCCCTTCCCTCTTTCTCCAGGTAACCCTATTCTGCTTTCTATTTTCTGGATGTTGATGTAAAAGAGGCATTATGACTTTAATGACCGAATAACAGTTACAAATTTCCATTTCACTTTACTTACCAGCTTAGATGTGGCTTAATGCAGCATGAACAGAATTTGCCCAGAGGTGGATGTGAGCTGAACTGACTATGTTTCTGACTGCCAATTCTTCTGCACACGAAAATAGCAGCATAACCTATTACCACATTTGTTATCTGTTACGAAGAAAAAATTACCAACCCACCCAGAGAAACAGAAATACAGCTGATCATGAGACTTCTCCAAAGGGAAGAAAACCTATTGGCTTTACATCAGAATGCTCACACAGGCTCTCAAAGGAAGGCAAACGTTTCCAAACAACCAAAACAAAAAATGTCACTGAAGCCATATATTTGTTTTTTAAAAAACAAAGCAAAACAAGTGCCTGACCTAAATACACTATATGTGGTCAGTTCTGATCCAGAATGTATGTTTTCCCCCCATCAAGCTTGCAGGGAGATATCTTTAACATCCCAACTCTCTTCAGTAAATATTTCTTCAGTGTTTATATGTGTAGGACTCCAGGAGATCTCACCGTCCTGCAGGAAATACGGTGACATCCAGACCGACCCTACATGCAGGAGACGTAACTATCCCAGCCATGCTGTCTTTGGGGCAGGGGCCTTCACGAGCCAGAGCACTGCTTCTCTACCTTCATGAAATGTTACTCTCTTTTCTCAAAATTCTTCCTAAGCCTTGGCCCTGGATTTGATTCCCATGATTAATTTAAGGGAATGGGGAGCAAAAAATAGGTACATGAATGTTAAACTTGTCTGTTTGGCTCTGTCCTTCAGCAGCCAAATAAAGAGTTTGAACGAAGTGCACAAATAATTTACTGTAAGCAACAAAATAGTATCGATCCTGCCATGGAGTAGGAACCACGGACCAGGGCCATCCATACGGACTAATTTGGATATGACGAGCTGGGAAGCTATTTATAACTTTCAAAGTATTTTATGGTTCTTTCTTTCCAAAGAAGAACACAACGTATTGCACAAGGTCTGGAATACACAAGTGTTCTTCTCTGCCCAAAGCAGCTGAGAAAGCAAAAGGATTACTCAAGCATTGTTTTTCTGACTTGACTTTGTAATGAGTAATTGTACAGAAATATTTTGTACTTAATAATCTTGAAAGTTTGAATTCAGAAAGACTTTATGGCCCCAAGGCTACATGGTCTGATGGCTCAGGTTCACAAATCCCCCAAGAATGGTTCTGGCCCTTGCAGCTGGGCGCACCTTTGTGAAGGTGTAAAACAAACCCAGTGTCAATAACGCCCAGTCCTGGGGCACCTGGGTGGCTCAGTCGGTTAAGTGTCTGACTTTGGCTCAGGTCATGATCTCATGGTTTGTGGGTTCGAGCCCCATATTGGGCTCCGTGCTGACAGCTCAGAGCCTGGAGCCTACTTCAGATTCTGTGTGTGTCTCTCTCTCTGCCCCTCCCCTACTTGTGCCCTGTCTCTTTGTCTCTAAAATAAAAAAAAAAGCATTAAAAAACTTTTTTTAAAGTAATGCCCAGTCCTGGTGCAGTGCCTGCATATAGGGGGCTCTTGGTGCTTTGTCAGACTGAACCAGGTATGAATTATGGCTTCTGTTTAAATCAGTTTGGAAAATAAGGAATATCTATTCCTCTTAACCCTTGTTCTCAGTCAATCACATAACACCAGATGTGGGTTCAAGCCCCGTATTGGGCTCTGTGCTGACAGCTCAGAATGTTTTCATGGTCTGTGGAATTCAAACTCGGGAATATTCAGGCATCATTTCATACAGAACAAACCAAGTTTCAAGCCGAGCTATCAAATATGTACTGCTGGATTGAAAAGACTAAAAGCTCGCCAGTCAGGGGCTGCACGGGGTGCAGGGAGGGCAGCTGCATGTTTTCCCCCCTCTGGGACGATGCCAGGAAAGCATCTTATTTCCAGAAGTTGAGTTCTATGACACAGCTATCCCAACCTGGGATCAGAATTTCCTTGCAGACCTCGCTCCTTTACTTAGTGCACATCCAAGCTGCTGGCTACATTCCCAGACACCCTCTATCCTTGATATTATCATAGCCCCTCTGGGGTAGTGGGTTCCTCATCTGGATAGGATGAGAGGTGAGAGCCAACGTCAGTCTTCTCTCTCAGCCTTCTCTCAGTAGCTTCCCCCCTCGCAAACGAGTTTTTGCCTGAGCCTTCATCTAAGGACAGTAATTTTTCAGTGACCCTGCAAGAGGGATGTTGAATACTAAAGAACACGCCTCCTTTGTCTCATAGCCTGCTTTGTTTTTCTAACTTTTAAAAATTACCTTTCATCATAACAGTACACAGAGTCCCTTTTAAACTTGTACTTGACTCAAGCAATGAAGAGAGGATACTGCCTACAATTCCCTTTCTGGCTCCCGTATGCCTGTGAAAGATCTTATTTTTCTTTAACTGGATTTTTAAAACATGTTTCCAAAAAAGCCTTGTAGATTTCTGATTTCTCCACATCACCCACTGGGGGTTCACACTTAAAGAAACTCAGGACTTCAAGAGGCCAACTTCATGCAGAAATCAAGGTACTAAGCACCAGGGTATTTGCACCCTGTTAGCTTCTGCAAATGCAATGTATCTCATCCGTTTGGGCTGACTGCAAAGGTGCCCTGGAAAGAGAAATAGAAGTATGTGCTTCTCTAATAGGTTAACATACTGACCTGCTTTAAAGGGAATAAATGGTACAGCCCAGGGGCAACTTACGTATGGACCTGAGCAGACACTTCTGGCAGAAATGACTTAAAAGCAAATCATGCTCCAAACCGTGGTGGATGAAACATCCTGCCCACATTAAATACCTTCATCCGAACCTCAAATAGGACAAGAATTGTATGCCTCATTGAAGGTACTCTTGATAAAAAGAAGTTGCAAAAAGCTGATATTAAAAAATACATATATATATATATATATATATATATATATATATGTGGGTTGCTCCGAAGTCTGTATTTTCTACAAATGCTTTAAAGGTCTGCTGGTAGAAACCAGTGGTTACGTAACAAGTAGATTTCAAAAATGACACCTTTTACAATGACAGTACATCCTAATAAAACAGCTGAGGTCAAGTCACTGAACATTTTTGTAATTTAAACAGAAGGACATAAGATTAATTCTTTGCTTAGGAGAGGAGAAAAAAAAAGAATTTATGAGAACTCTGTACCGATCTCCCCACATAGTTAGGGGATTAGAAGTAGGGAGGAAACACAAATTTGTTCACTGAAGGGGCTAAAGTGCTAATTTATGGTTCTCTCAAATAGAAGGTGGCGTCTACGGTTACCTAGCTCGGCTGGGCAATTAAGGCTAATGGCTCTCTCCAGCACACCCAACACCAGACCTGTTTGGTTTTGTTGTTGTTGTGGTTTTGTGTGTGTGTGTGTGTGTGTGTGTGTGTGTGTGTGTGTGTGTGTGTGTTCCCTCCGGGCTCTGCCTCGCTGGCTCTCCCCAGCACTGGCTCTTCGGGGTCAAGGAAGGTTGGGCGCCTCCCTTGTCGCTCTCCGGACCCCAGAGTGTCAGACTCTGGCGTCGTTGGCCACGCTCGCCGGGCCTCCGCGCCACGGACGGACCCGGCCTCCCCACCAGCCGCCCCAGGCCCCCCGGGCCCCCGCTCTTCAGTCCGGGTCGCCGGCAGAGCGCGCGGAGCTCGCGTCGTCGTTTTTGGCAAGCGACGCAGCTGCCTCCCCGGACGCAGCCTGCGCGCCTCGGGTCCCGGCTACGACGGCGCCGCGTCCCCAGCACCCGGACGGGCTGGAGGAGGCGACGCGGAGAGCGAGGCCGCCTCGGGCCGGCCCCAGCCCTAGCCGAGCGCCGGCTCCGGAGCGCGAGCCCCGCGGCCCAGCGCCGCGCCGGGGGAGAAGCAGCTGTTCCAACAGCTGGGGGCGGCGGCGCCGGGCACCCCAGGTGCGGCCGCGGCCAATCGCAGGCGTCCGGCCCGCCCCCTCCCCAGCCGGGCGCCGACCCCCGGCCCGCGGGGGAAGGGAGCAGAGAGGTGCAGAGCCGTCCTCGCCACTCGTCTTCCAGCTTCCGCGGCGGGAGGGACACCCCCGGAGCCCGAGCGGCGCGGAGTCCCCCCCCACCCCAGCCCCCAAGCCTCGGCCCCGCCGCCGCCGCCGCGCCCCCCGCCCGCCCACCTCCGCGCCCGGACCAGCTCACCGCGACCCTCCCCACGCCCCACCCAAGACACCTACCTAATTTCCAAGAAGGAGAAAAAAAAAAAAATCTACCTCTACACGCACCCGCTTCCTCGCTCGAGGACCACCCTCTCCTTTTCATTTCTGGCCTCCCAGCCGGGTGAGTGGCAACCGCTTGCACATTCTCTAGCACGGGCTCCTAACCCGGACGATCCGGAGAATTTGTGCGGCGACCGGCAGGGGGGGCGGGAGGAGAGAGCGCAGTCGAGTCTCCGGCGACTTCGGAAGCCGCGCGCCCCGCGCCCCCGGCCGCCCCCGGCCGCTCGCCCCCGCCGCGCCGCCGCCCTCGCCCCCTGCCGCGCCCTCGGCCCCCGGCGGCCGCGGAAGGGCGCGGGAGACGCGGAGCCGGAGGAGCAGGCGCAGCCGCTGCCCGAGCCGCAGCCGCAGCCGCAGCCGGAGCCCGAGCCGCGGGGCGGGCGCGAAGATGCACACGACCCAGAAGGACACGACGTACACCAAGATCTTCGTCGGGGGGCTGCCCTACCACACCACCGACGCCAGCCTGCGCAAGTACTTCGAGGTCTTCGGCGAGATCGAGGAGGCGGTGGTCATCACCGACCGGCAGACCGGCAAGTCCCGGGGCTACGGATTTGTAAGTTGCGCGGCTGGGGGCTGGGGGGGGGGGCGGCGGAAGGTGGGGGAGGGAGGCGTGGGGGCGCCCCCGGGCCGGGCGGGGGGATCGCGGACCGCGGGGTCGGCGGGGACGGGAGGCTCGCGGCGGCGCGGGGCCTGGGGGGCGGGGGTCGCCGCGGGGGCGGGGGTGGGGGCCGGGGTGACGGCGTGAGGACCCCGGAGGGCGCGGGCGCGCCGGCCCTTCGCTCGGCTGAACTGAAAGTTTGCGCGCGGCGTTGCCGGGCGAGGGAGGGCCGGCTCCTGCCTCGCGGGGTTCCGCGGGGACCCAGTCCCCCGCGGGGTCAGGGGACGGGCGGAGCGGGGGTGGAAGGGGAGACCTAACCACTGCTGGATTTGCGGGTGCGCGGGGCTGGGAGGGAGGGGCCGCAGCCCCCTCGGAAACGCACCCGGGGGGTTGGAGGCCCGGCGTTCAGCGCGCTGTTGCTTTGTAAAAATGCGTGTGTCTTCAGGCGTTCCGGTTGGGGCGGGGAGGGGACACCCCAGGAGGTCTAGGGCCCTACTCCTGATGCCAGTCCACCCCACCCCACCCCCAATCTGGACACACACACACATACTTTTTTTTTTTTAATTGCAAAGATGGGTTATTTAAAAAGATGATCCTAAGGCTCTTTGCTGAACTGAAAGAGAGCGTATTAAGCCCCCTGGGTATTTAAGCGTGCAAATTCAGCTGCCGGAGAGCTGGGAGCTCCCGGGTAGGACAATAGCTATTGTCGTTAAGGAGGGCTTGCTGGTGGTTGGGAGCGCCGGGCGGATGTGAGTCTGGACTTTCTTTAAAGCAAACAGTGCCTCCTGGGCCGAGTAGGGACCTAGGAGGGGCGAAAGGGGGGCGCTTGAGGCTGGGAGGATCCAGAGTTCTGAGCTGGAATTCAGGCCTCCGACTCCGTGCTAGGCCCTACTAGCGCCCTTAAGACTTTGAGGGTGTGGAGAGGGGCTTGTTTCTTTCTTCTCTTCTCTTCTCTTCTCTTCTCTTCTCTTCTCCTCTCCTCTCCTCTCCTCTCCTCTCCTCTCCCTTCCCTTCCCTTCCCTTCCCTTCCCTTCCCTTCCCTTCCCTTCCCTTCCCTTCCTTTCCTTTCCTTTGATGGGGATCAAGGAGTGAATTCCAGCAAAAGAAAAAGAAAAAAGAAAGTTTAAGAACCCCCTTAGTTTTATCATGAATGACTTCTGCATTGTGATTATTGGTCTCCTTCATGGGGTGACTTAGAGCTTCGTGTGTGTGTCTGTGTGTGTATGTTGTAAGGTCACCATGGCTGACCGAGCCGCTGCGGAAAGAGCCTGCAAGGATCCCAACCCCATCATTGATGGCAGGAAGGCCAATGTGAATCTGGCATATTTGGGAGCAAAACCAAGGATCATGCAACCAGGTGAGAAATGTCCCTCCCACCCTCCTCCCCCGCAAGTTGCGACACCCACTTCTGAATAGAATGAATCCCCGATTGAGAAGACGTGGTGGATGTGTTTAGTAAAGTTGAACCATGGCTAGGCATTCTACCAAGACCTTACATGAGAGTCGTAAACAGCTCGTGCAGGACTTGAAATGGACCTTTGTGCAAACATAAATCTTTGGGGTCTGCTCAGTTTGTACCCACCCAGATTTAGGCTTGACTCCTCTGTTTCAGGTGTGACATACAGTCAGTCCATTTACTCTTTATTTTCCAGTTTCCAGCCACTTGTAGATCATTCGCTTGAGAATCATGTGGGCCAAATGTGTCAGCTCGGGCCGGTTATCCTTCCCTGCTGTGTGTTTTCTTTCCTTCTTCCACCGGTTGAAGGAAGGCGATCCAGCTTGAAACACTGACCCAAGAGAAACATAGGGGTGAGGGTGGTGTCTCACCCTCTCACATAAAATCACAGACTATTAGTAATTTTTTTAAAAAAGGGGAGATTTCATGTACTTCTGGACCCTCATGTTGCAGATACAGAGACTGACACTTCGAGATGGGAAATGTTTCCCTCCAACCCCATGCAGCTAGCTATTAGTCCTTAGAAGGGAGCAGGCTTTTGTCTATGTGAAAATCGGACCTTTTGGATTATTTACAACACTGGCCTTTGTGTTAGCACACATAATTAAGAGCTGACTATTGACCAAATGGTAAGCTTTTTCTTGGGTAAGCCACTTTGTTTCATTCTATCATGGTCTCTTCACTCCAGTCTTTCCATCTGAAATTTTGGAAAGAGGTTGACACTTTCATGCAAATAGACTTGCTAGGAAACAAGATTGTCAAGAAAGTGAGTGCATGCCAATATCCGTGAACATTTAAAAACATGTGCTTGTCCAGAAAAGGAGACTTGGTTTTGGGGAATATTTAATACCATAATCTTTAAAATCCATAATCTTCCAAAGCACTGTCCAGCATGTTCCGAATTACAAAGACTTTTTATAGATCATGATTCAGAATTGCAGGAATATTTGTGACTTGTAACTTCATTACCAAGTCCTGTTGTCCCAAGTTTCATTCCTCAAGAATTTTTCCCTGGTCTGAATTTCTAAGGTTTGACTGTATAACTGTCAACCAATCTTTGCAGATAATTTTTAGTTTCCACTTGTAGCCTATTAAAATTTGGGGGGGGGGGATCAATGATAACATTAATAAAGAGAATATGTATATAAGATTTTCTGTAAAGCATCAAAAGAATGGCTGTCTTTTCTACGTGAAAGTTGTGATTGCATTTTATAGGTAGGAGGAATAAATGCCTAACTGTGCACAAACAGAGAATGTGGTGTGTTCTATTGTTAGGTTTTGCCTTTGGTGTTCAACAACTTCATCCAGCCCTTATACAAAGACCTTTTGGGTAAGTCCATTAATCAGGCCCTCCTAAGTTTTGATAGCTATCCTTGGTTAACCCGCCTCTTTGTTATATACAGGCAAGACCATCATGTCACAGAATGTTCCTTGTTATACTATTTATTTATGTTTGTATATTTTTGATGCTGATAATATAAATATTTTTAGATGAGTCAAGTTACTGACCAAGTACGCAGCCTCCCAACCAGACAAATTTTGAGCTTATGATTAACAAAACAAAACAAAACAAAAATACCAGGTATGACTTGTGTACGAGACGATTATGTCCCAGGAGCATTACTACTGTTCAACTTGACTCAATTTTATTTATCTCTTTCTAACCTGACAGGGCTGGTTTACAGTTAAGCTAACTGGTCAGAAGGATACGATGATAAGAGGTGGAATGGTTCTGTTTGGAATTAAGCTCTGTAACCAGTAGACTCAGACACACAAGCTCAGATGGTGATTAACGATGCATGGATGTTGGTGTTGGTGTTTTCATTTTTCACAATAGTCAATAGACCTCCGTGTGCTTTATTTTATTTATTACAGTAATGAAGTGTTGATAGCTAAACTGTGTGCTTTTTACTTAATTGAAAAGAGCTGTAGTGAAAGTGTTTTCTTTTCCTCGGGGAAGGGGCTCTTTGTGGTTTTGATTTTGGTGGTGGTGTTGAGGAGTGTTGACTTTTGACCTTGCCATGGGAAGCAAAGGGCCTTTTTTTTTTTTTCTTGCTTTTAAGCTATAGCCTGTGACTTCCACTTAACCATATTTTTGTAGTGAGTGCTAAATCGTGTGATTTCCCTCTGTAAGAATACAGATTCATCGCTTGCATGTCCTAAGTTTCTGTTTTCCTGGGGAGTTTTCTGGGAATGGGGTTCTTTTCTTTTGCAATGTGTCTCCACTTTTAGGCCTTCTAATTTAAAGGTTCAGCAGCACTCATCAGATTTCACAGACACTAGCCAGTGTTTTGAGTCACGTAGCACTCACTTTCACCTTTCGGACCCTAACTCAGCTGAACAGGCTGCTCCTGTTTGCATCATCTCTGGGCTTTTCTCATCTGAGCTCCCTCATTCCCCTTCCATTCGGACGTCATTAAGTGTGTGATCCCCCAACCATCTAAATGTAGTCAGACCACTTGGAGTCGTGTGGGCTGTATTCTGCCTGATAGACGCTGCTGGCACTGCGATGCCCGAGACTTCAACTTCCTTTATGAATACTCTACCGTTCAAAGAGTATTTTATCTTCAGCGATAGTGTCCTCTCTGGCTTAGCACCTAAGTATCTACGTGTGTAGCCTGGAAGGTCGGATCCTAGCTACATAGATAGATAGACATCTACTGTATGTAGCGCTAAGAGTAGACCATGAAAAGTAATCATCATTTGACTTGGAAAGTTCAAGTTATATTTTCCATGAATATCTTCTTGTAACTTTCCCTTTAACATACGGATACTTCACCTTACCACCAACTCTTACTTTTTGTTAACTGGAGAAGAGTATTCTTTCCAGTGTGATTCTAAAGGACCTTCATAGAGCCATAGCTTTTTGCCAGATCCCTCATCCCAACCAGTCTGAGCGCTGACAACACATAGTGGGTTGGTGACTCGAGCTGCTTCTGTGGGTTCTCCCCTTCATTGGTCTAGACCACGTATAAGGTGGGTTTGAGGAGGAGAACATACATATTAAGAAGTGATGATGAACTTAGTCATGATCTCCTGATAATACTCTTGACACCGTTATACAGCTAAATCAATCCACAGATCAGTCCACAGGTATTAGCATGTTATGTCTGGGGTTTGTTTTGTTTTTTCCTGTGCCAAGTGGATGATACAAAAGCAAAGACTGCGCTTTAGCTTGGGAAGCAAAACTCACACAAGCCAGTCAAGAAGTATTAGTTGCTAAATTACTTGGCATTGTTTTAACGACAAAAGGAATTCAGAATAGCAAGAAAACAGGTGAATTGGAGAGGTGAGGACAAGGCTTCATGAGAGTCTTGGCTCACTGAGTAGGTCCTGGGGAGGGAAGAGGAGGAAGAGACAAGCCTTAGGGGTATAGGGAGGGGTGGGCATAAGCACAGGGACAGAAAAGATTTAGTACATGGAGAGACCAGACTGTTGGTAGAGGATCTTGAGAGCTAGACCTAGAAACTTCGACTGGCTGTGGTAGTCCGCATAGATCCCTGGGAAAGGAAGTGGCGAAAGGAAAATAAGACCAACCAGAATGAAATGTCCTATGGAAAGTTTAAATGAAGCATGCTTTGCGAGTTATGTTTTGTTTTTCATCCCTGCTCATATCAAGCTGTCTTTTATAAAGGATGGTGATTATTACTATTTGCATAAGTTGTTTGAACTTGAGATTCTTATTAGAAATAGATAACATTCCACCAGGTGTACCAAGTGGGCCTTCTCTTTTCTTAAGGGGTTCTTAACACCTCTCTGATTCCCAGAGCCTGTACCTAACAAATCACACCTGGTCATTCTAAATTCTGTTTGAATGCCACATGTTCTTATTTTGGGCCTGGAGAGAAGCTTGAGAATTTTTAATCTTACTTGTTTGAAATTCTAGTCACTGAACTCTTTTTCTTACGTGGTCCTTAAATGGCCCCCAGATTACTCTGGGCTTCTCAAGCGAAAACCTTGGCTTAAAAGAATTTCTGATGTGACCCAGTGGGCAGATATAGAGAAACGTGTACATTTGCTAAGCAGTATCTTACATATTTTTATGTTCGGAAGAAGCATTTTCTTATTGAAAATAAGAAAGGAAAGATTATGGGTCTGTGAGTAGAGAATTCTAGGGTCGGGGCGCAGGGGTGGTTCAGTCAGTTAAGCATCCGACTCTTGGTTTCCATTCAGGTCATGATCTCGTGGTGTGCAAGTTTGAGCTCCAGGTCAAGCTCCGTGCTGACAATGCAGAGCCTGCTTGGGATTCTCTCTCTCTCCCCCTCTCCTTGCCCCTCCCTTGCTCGTGCTCTTTGTTGCAAATATATAAACTTAAAAAGAAAAGAAAGGAAAGAAAATTCTAGCCTAGTTTAGATCAGGTTGAAATACCCTTAAATATTTATGCAGTATACCTTGAAGTGCTAAGTTTTATGCCAGTTATGTGAACACTGTACTAGATGCTATACTGTCCAGTAAGGGGGGGGGGAGGTGAGGGGGCAGGGAGAAAGTAACATTAAGTGAACATGTGCTGCATGGCCCAGTTCTAATAAGAGATTTACACAAATCATGTAATGTAATTCTCACAATACTTTTTTGATGCAGGCTGTTCATGTCAGCCTATTAACATCCTTTTCATGGGTGAAGAAAACTGCCATACAGAGACGTTAATTAACTTCCCAAGGGGTAGTAAGTAATAGAGGCTGGTTTCTAGGTTCAGAGTCGTGGCTTCCCTGACCTCAAAAGCCGTATATTTTCCTCTGTGTCCAGCTATAGCCAGAAAAGACACAGTTCCATTCTCCCTTGTACTCTGGTATGAAAACTCCTTGAGAAACCCCCAGAAGGGTTGGGGCTTTGGACAGAGAGGAGAGACACCAGGTTAGAGGGATGCGAGAAGTCTTCATGATCAAGGTGGAAGTTGACATAGATTTGGAAGGATAGTGGGGGATAAGGTACCCTTGGATTGAGTGCCTACTTTGTTCACCATTGTAGGCTCTTTGCGTAATATTATTTAATGCATAGCAATGCACAGTAAAAATGTTAGATTCACTTCATGTTTGAGCAACGGGAGACTAGAAAGTGAAGCAAATTCCTGAAGGGTCTATAGCTGGTGAGTGCCAGAGTTAGGGTGGATAGGACTTGGATTCAGCAGGTAGAAATGGGAGTGAGGATTGGCACCCCCAGCAAAGGGATGGTGTGAGCAAAGGTGAGGCTCTAGAAACGTGGGGCATGTCCAGGGAGCCTTAAGGAGCTCAGCTGACCTGGGTCCAAGGGAAGGTGGAGCGAAATACAGGAAGAAGTAATTTGGAGCCAGAAGCATGGAAAACCTAGCATGCCAAAGTCACAGAAATTTGCACTTTGTTTGGTAGGACATTAGGGGCCATAGATTCCTATGGATGAGTGACTGAAAAGAAGACTTTGGCAGCAGTCTGGTTATAGACTGGAAGAGGAAACCAGTTAGGATGTCAAAAGTCACGAAGCGATGTCAGAGGGACCTGGAAAAGGGAGGAAGATGTAGTCCATTTTCTTTGGGAATCGACCGAGGTATCTGCCTTGGGCTTGTGCTTTCCTAAGTGCTAGGGATGCCCACGGTACGATTAATCGAGACGGACACCGAGAGATATCTAACTGGGGGAGAGATTCCCAGATCACCTTCATGGGCTCCTTAAACTAGCAGAAGACCTCCCGATGCAAGGTGTGTTTCAGAAGCGCCACCTTTCCCTCAGTCCTTCCCTGCTTTCCTTCCTGAATTGAGATATTTTCGGCTCTCCATTGGCCTTCTGGGTTCTCCTTTTCCTAAGCCTCTAACAATTCTGGGGTTTCATGTGCCTTCCAAACATATTCCTAACCCTTGCCAGACTTCATGGAGGAATCTGATATTCCAGGGAACTCTACACTCTCATTGGCTGGCATTATCAAATGAAAGCTATTAATGTAAAATCAGGGCAGAGACAAGATTCCCATAGGAAACACTGCCTATCTTTTAGCGCATTCTAAACACACACACTCGCGCACACACACATTTTTATCTTGCCTGTTTGTAGGCTAAACTGATTTTCTGTTACCACCTTCATTCAGAGTCACTGCCCTGGTCACCATCATGCTGTCCTCAGGGCTTTGGGAGTGCAGGGGTTAATGTCTCCGTATCAGTGAGATTCATACTGGCTGGCCTTTGCTGCTGATAGATGTTTTACTCTGGCCTTATAAAGACATTTTACCCGCTGGAAGCCCTTGTCGTATGACAGGATCAAAAATAGCCCTGGTGCAGCCCCCGCTGTCCATCACCACATGTAAACTGGCATGAGAGTGTAGGCTCTCTCAGCTGTGCCTGCACATTGTGGACACGGCAGCCTC